TCCCACTGTTGTGGACTGCTTTCGGACTGCTGAAGCTTATAGGGAATCCAAATGTTTTGGATTGTTGGGTGTTTCTGTCTCTGCCTTTGTTAAGCGCTATGAGATGACTTGTTGTTGTAAATATGCCCTATACAAATAAAATTGAATTGAATTGAATTGAATTGAATTGGCTGCAAGGTGGCGCAGTTGGTAGCACTGTTGCCTCGCAGCAAGAAGGTTGCCGGTTCGCGTCCCAGTGAGGGCACCGGAATCTTGAATGCGTGGAGTTTGCATGTTCTCTCCGGGTTCTCTGGCCTCCTCCCACAAGGTCCAAAAACATGTTGAGCTTGGTTGTCTGTCTCTAAGTGTAGCCCTAAGTCGGCTGGGATAGGCTCCAGCCCCCCCGCGACCCTAGTGAGGATTAAGCGGTGTATAGATATTGAATGAATGGATGGATGAATTGAATTGAACTCCTTGGTCAGCGTCCATGGAGACCAGCTTTGCATTTGATTATAATGTTGCTACAAGAATTAGTTACATTTACCAGGATGCTATTAGGGATTCTTCTTGGACTCCACCACTCTCCCAGTGCAGGACTCACTTTCATTTCCCTACCAACCAATTGAGATGTTCCATCATGTGGAACTCCTTGTAATTTTTTTTTGTTTTGTTTTGTTTTAATTCAGCTTTGCACTGTGGCCACTCAACCTTGAAAACACTTGGATATAACTTTAGTCTTTCCTCTACTTATGAACACCCACAATGTGCAACCAGAGGTCCTCACTACGGTCATTGGTTTTAGCCATGAGTTGCAGCTGACAAGTTACTGACTAGAGAGTCACTGCATCAACTGTTCTCAGTTTATAGTGTATGAGAACGCTGTAGAACGTGGTAGTTTCAGGTCTTGCAGGTGTTTGAAGCTGTAATGACGCAGATTCAGACCAGAACCCTGAGTTTTGTCTTCAGGTTGACTTTTGATCCGTAGCCGTTAGTTGTTTGATTTGTTTTTATAGTAAAACTTTCCTCTGGGCTTCGCCTGGATTCCCAACTGAGCTTTTTAAAAATTATCCTTTTGAACAGTTTGTTGCCATGGCGACGGTGACGCTAACAAGCTCTTTGAGCAAAGATGTGACTGATGGAGGTTTTTTTGTTTGAGTCATTGGCAGAGTTTCAGTCAGTTGCTGCGACGTTTAGGAATCTGAGACTGAAAACTGGAAGAAGAAGAAACAAACTGAGCATTGAAGCTACAGTTTGAACTGATTTGATGCAGAGCAACTCGCTGGTACAGAACTCAACTGATCGTTTGGTTTAGACTGATTCTGTGAAACCATGTCTGAGGTTTTTTATTATAAATACAAAATACAAAAAATACAAAAATATACAAAATAAAATAACTGAACTGAATGTTTAAGTTATAATCATAAAAGTGACAACCTGAAAAATATTTCCATTATTCCTTTAAAAAAATGACTTTAATGAGAGATACAGGTGAATAGAGTGAATTTTTATAATAAATATCACCATGAAACATCCCCCGTTGATTACTTACAATAAAATATTTTGGGGGTTTTACAAATTTTCTGTTCAAGTATGCAAATGAGATGTTGTACATCTAAAATGCTTTCATTTGCATTCATTTCCACAACAGAAATCTGAACACTGGATGAAAAATCTGAAAATACTATCAGCAGCCAGAAAAAAAAATAAAAATTTCCTCTATGTTTTTAGGAGGGATACAAAATGCAAAATACAGATTGTCATAGATTGTTATTGTTGCTGTTGTTTGTTACTATCCAGTTTTTGAATCTTTTAATGCAATAATACCCTCGTTATTGATACTATTGTGTCTTAATAGCCATTTTTTTGTTGACATTTTAGTATATTAATATCCAGGTTCTTAACAGTTCTGTGTGCTAATGTTTGCGATTTTTGCACATCGTTATGATAATATGCAGGTATTTTTTTATTGGATTACCTTCACAACTAAAGATGATTTTAAGGAGGAAAACTTGACATTTACTTCCTTGTTTCCCAGTATTTGCAGTCTTTTGTTTTTGGCTCGATAGAATTAATATAAACACACAATATTAATGCATAAAAAAAAACTTCTTGAGGTCAAATTCATGTTTTGTAAATCCATCTTAGACAGATTCAAATAAATACTTACATTTTAGTTTAATTTTAATAGGGACTTAAAGAGGACTTAAAGACAAACTCAAAGAAAAAATAATCTTCTCTGATTAGTAGCAGCGTGAGACTTTACATTTACATGATTTTAAAAAATGTTTTAATGCATTATATCCACAATTATAAAGAGGCTTTGAGGGGCAAAACTTTACATTTTCTGAATTGCTTCTGATTATTTGCAGAATATTATTTTCCCTCAATGAGAGAAGCCATTTTAGAGTATAACTTATGAGATATTTTCATGTTGTCTGGTCACTGTAGAAAGGATTGTTGCCTTTTAATTGCCTCATATGTTGGAACCCAATATTTTAAAAAGCTGCGTCCTTATTAATGAGTAAGTGATTACATTTTGAGGTTGAATTCATGTTCTGTAAATCAATCTTTGATATATAAAACATTTGGATTATAGTTTATTATACTTGGAAGGATTTTTATTGGACTTTCTCAACAGTTTAAAAAGACATAAAGACATAAAAACAGACTCCTCTAATTAGCAGTAGCCTACAAGTTTATATTCATGTCTGAGTAAGTCACTGCTGTGTGTTAACATACAGATGTTGAATAATTTGATACAATATAACTTGTATTGTTGATACTGGTTTGTGCTAATATCCAGATTTTTCACACTTCAATAAATTTGTTATTGCATTTTCACTGCAAAACTTGACATTTTCTAAATAGCTTCTCATTACTAATTAATAAATTATTGCATCGGTTCTCCTTTACATGACAAGCACATCTACAGAACATCTGCCCCGAGGAACTCTGTCTCTGAATAATTTGTCTTTTACTTTCAGTCCGTCTGAGGAGGCCTATTGCCACCGCTGATGACGCAGGAAAACGCCGCTGAGCAAGGCCTGTACCCGGACAGGGACGGCCTGCGTGTCCGTGTGTCCATCTGGTCCGGGACCTGGAGAATCCGAGAGGACCAGGAGGAACTGTGCGCCAGCTTCCATTTGTGCGCTGCGCCACACTCTGCGCGGCCTGCAGGCCTTTGACACGGCTCTTTTTCGTGTCTGGCTCTTTAGAACGGGTCCAGACGGCGCTGACCCGGGTTAGTGTCATTGTGTAACCCTCATGCTTTATTTATTAATTTATTTTTTGCGCGTTTTTTGTACGGATGAGACGTCGCCCATTTCAGCACCACCAAGCTGGACAGCGACCGTCTCACCAAACTCCGTTCATTTTTCTGCCATTTTTAGACCCAGATTTTGATCGCTACGCTTTCTTAGGGAGGTTCTGCTGATCTTCATCTCCTAAAAACACGCAGCCCTGCCGCCCTCCCCCACCCGAAGCCCCGAGAAGCTCACCGAACATATGGATGTGTCCCTTGGTGATGGGGTTGAAGCTGCCGCAGGACAGCAGGATGACGTGCGTTTTGGTGGTTTCTGTCATGGTCCTTCCCTCCTCTGTGCTCTTCGGTCCTGTGCACCGGTCCGGTCCGGTCCCCGGTCCCACGATGGGTCGGGTGGTCGGTTGTTTGTGGCAGGCGGCCGACGCAGAGAGTCAGAGAGAGAGAGGCGAGGCTGGATGGAGAGTCTGCGGCAGGAGGCAGGAGGAGGAAACAGCGTCAGAGCATCATCAGCATCATCAGCATCATCACAGGTTCAGCCTCCCGCATCACAACAGCAGAGCAGCACCGTGGTGATGTTACAGCAGAGTGGAGCCTCACAGTGGAGGAAAACACTGAAAACATGGCAGAAGTATTCTGTTTGTTCCAAAATACAGATAAAAACGGTCATATCTAATGCTTTCTTTGTTGCTGTTCATCGTTTTTATGCCTTGCTCAATAAATATGTTAGAAATTCTTGTATATTATCATGCAAGTACTCACCTGTTAAATTCTAGGCTATCTGAAAAAAAGTAATTTAAAGGGATTAATTTAGGGCCACCTTATAAAAAATGTTAATATATACACTAGCTGTAAAAAAAAAAAAAAAAAAAAAAAAAAAAAAAAAGTACAGACAATAAAAGTTTTAGAAATTTTAGATTTATTATTATGTGCTGTCTAGTTCCAGCCTAACTGAAAAATAAAAGTCCTTGAACGGCATTAATTAAGATTCACCTGAAATATCACATTAACTTTGTAACTACATAATGTCTACATCAAAAATCTGGATTTTTACAAATGCTTACTGTTTTAAGTTTGACTGCAAAATTATTATTATTATTATTATTTTCAATGTATTTGAATCAGCAAAAAATACAATTTTACAGATATTTGCATTTATTTTCATAGTTTTGTTTTTAAGTGGAGAGCACTTTCACCTAAACGTCCTGTTGTTTAAATGTGCTCTCTAGTTTCTTTCCTCCTTTGTGAAAGTAAACTAAACCCATTTTTGGGTTGTGGAAAAAACTAGAACATTTGTCATCTTGAGCTTTGGCAAACACTGATCCACATTAAAACATACAACATCTTATAGACCACACAAGTAATTAAATAATTCCGAAACTATCCGATGTGAAAACAATTGTTTGTTGCAGCTCTGGTTAGTTATTAGGCTATATTTGATTTGATTTGATGTATTTATATATTCCCACAAGTATGTGCGCTATATGCAGGAGAAATTCAACTGGACACCCTAGAAAGTGAAGGTGAACCAATTAAACACTTGATTACAGATTGTATCCATCAAAGATTTGACTCTACAGTTCATCTCCACGTGAAACACATTAACACAAACTCAGGTCTGAAGCAACCAGATGCAGCCCTGACAATCATTAGCAGCATGCTGTTTTGAAACGTTAATTCATTTCTATTACAGCTGAGTGCATCATGTGGACATTAAAAGACATTTAAAGAGTTTCTGGTGATCACGTAAAGTATTCACTGCCAAAATTCTTTATAGCCTTTCTCAGTAATCAGTGGCACGACATCATTCAATCAGTTATTATAATTGCTAACAGGCTTCATCACGTCAATCTGGTCTTCTGTTTGACTACAGATTCTCATTGGAATTCAAGTCTGGCCTCCAACATCTTCAGATTGTTTTCTGTATGTTTCAGATCATTGTCTTGATGGAATGTGTAATGCTGACAGGGATAAGTTTTTGTGCAGACTGCCTGATGTTTTTCTTCTCTTTTCTCATCCATCGACTAAAAAGAATTATGCTTCCACCACCATCTTTAACTGTGAGGATGGTGTTCATGGGGTTCAGCGTTTCTTTCTTGTGTCTAAACAATTCAATTTTCATCTTATCCGACCACAGATGTGATGAGCAGCAGCTTTCTTCTTTTTCCAAGTTGAGCTTTTGTCCTTGGTTGGCGTCGATGAAAACACTAGAAAAATGTTATTTATACATCAGGCATGAAGGGCAAAAAATAAGCAAAAGAGTCAAAGCTGAAAGTGCAATATTATGATGACATAGTGCATCTCAACTGCATGCTACTGAATGCAATGTAGGTTTGGAACAGTTATAGTGTCACAGCAACAAATACATATACATATTCGTTCTAAAGGGAGAGGAGTCGGGGCTTAATTGAAATCCAGAAGTATACGCTACATACACAATATGTTTATGTTTCACTTACTTTTGTATAAATAAACCGTACTGTGTATCTTTTAAGATGCACCACTCAACGCTTCCTCAAAGTTCATTGCTAGTTGGAGGTGGAAACCCTCCAGCCTCCTTCTTTTTATCTCTACCAGCATCAGATTGCCTGAAATCAGACAGAACTATCAACTCCTGAAGTGAATCCTGAAGACTAATAGACATTAGAACTGAGCTGCTTTACTCTCCGTCTGTCATTGTTTGTTAAGTGTGTCACTATTGCATTGCATTGCCACACATTTACACATTTGTTCTACACTGTACATGCAGTTTTAAAGTCGCTGTGTTCACTGATATTGCAGTTATGACTCTATCCCCTGTCATTCTTGCAAAAAGTTGCTGGAGTGTGAAGAATTTTCAGCTCATGACAGTTGTAGTTGCAATAATTATTTAGTCCATCAGTTTGATTAAGCAGCACAGAAAGACTTATGTTTGGTTTCGAACTTCTTTTACTTTATTTATAAAGTGCCTTTTACAACAACATGTTGTACATCTACAATTTGTTAGTGTTACCTCTAAAGCCTGAAACAATGTCAAATCGATATAGTGACAAAACACATTGAATAATTAAATGTAACAACACTAAAGAACTCTGAAGAGACTCCAGTTGCTAGAGAGAGTAGAGAGATAACGCAAATTACAGCGACGGTGCAGGAGTTGTAACAGTTCATAAGATGCCTGAGAATTCTCAGGTTTTAAGCTTTTCCTCAGTATCAAAGAAATACTTGTTAGTACATCAAATGGTACGCAGCAAAGAAAAACAAACAAACAAACAAAAAACTTAGCAGCTGATTCACTGCACTTAATTTTTTACAAAGTGAACAAAAACAGGCTAAGAATCAGGACTCATGTAGCCCACAGCCTAAGTCACTGAATCCATGGATAAATGTTGAATATTAAGTATAAAGGTGCTTTAAATCTGAAACATCTTCCTTTGAACGAATTCTTACATATCGTTTCCAGCTTGGCTTCCAGATAATTATTGTTGCAGATGTTTCATGTCGACGACTTCTCACCTGTGTGGATTGCTTTATGCCTTTCAAGTGCTGATGAGACTGTAAAGCTTTTTCCGCAGGTGTTACACAAGTACGGCTTCTCACCGGTGTGGATTCTCATGTGACTTTTAAGCACTGATGGGACAGAAAATCTTTTTCCGCAGGTGTTACAAAGGTATGGTTTCTCACCTGTGTGGGTTCTCATGTGGACAATTAAATTACTACAATGACTGAAACTTTTTCCACATGTTTTGCAGGAATACGGCTTCTCACCTGTGTGAGTCCTCACGTGGAGCAACAAGTTTTCGTTACTTCTGAAACTCTTCCCACATGTTTCGCAAGGATAAGGCTTTTCATCGGTGTGGGTGCTCATGTGGAGCAACAAGTTATCCCGACGTCTGAAACCATTCCCACATGTTTCGCAAGAATAAGGCTTCTCACCTTTGTGGACTGCTGTGTGCCTTTTAAGTGCTGACGTGTCAGCAAATCTTTTCCAACAGAAGTTACATACATGTGGCTTCTCACCTGTGTGAGTTCTCATGTGAACTTTCAAATTACTACTATAAGTGAAACTTTTACCACATGTTTCACAGGAATACGGCTTCACACCTGTGTGGATTGCTGTGTGCCTTTTAAATGTGGTTAAGTCAGTAAATCTTTTCCCACAGGTGTTACACAGATACAGCTTCTCACCTGTGTGGAGTCTCATGTGGACCATCAAACTACGACTTACAGTGAAACTTTTTCCACATGTCTCGCAAGAATACGGTTTCTCACCTGTGTGACTTCTCATGTGGACAGTCAGATTACTACAATGACTAAAACTTTTCCCACATGTTTCACAAGAATATGGCTTCTCACCTGTGTGAGTCCTCATGTGTACCAACAAGTTATCATTACTTCTGAAACTTTTCCCACATGTTTCACAAGAATATGGCTTCTCACCTGTGTGGGTTCTCGTGTGGACTTTTAGGTGAGAGCTACAGCTGAAATTTTTCCCGCATGTGTTACAAAGGTATGGCTTCACACCTGTGTGGATTCTATAATGTTTCTTCATCTGGGCCTTATCTTTAAAGGCTTTCCCACAGACATCACATTCTACTGATTTTTTACCTGCATCACTTTCACAGTGACTCTCTGACATGGGAGAGATGTCACTGTGGTCACTTTCCTCATATGCTGGTGTCACCAAAAACGTATCCGTCTCCTGCTTCACTATAATCTGCCTTATCTCCTGACTGGTGCAGGGTTCCTCATGTTCAGCTTTAATCTGCTGAAACTCAGGGGTCTCCTGACCCAGACTGGTGTAGAGTTCCTCCTGTTCCTCTTTAATCTGTGGAGGTTCGAGGTCATCCTGGTCCACACTTGTGCAGATTTCCTCCTGTTCCTCTTTTATTTGTAGAGGGTCTCGGTCCTCCTGGTCTACATGGGTGCACAGTTCCTCCTGTTCCTCTTTAATCGGTGGAGACCCTGAGTCTTCTTGTTCTAAACTGGAGTTCCTGTCCTTGTCGCAGAGCTGCTGATCCGTGAGAAGTTCTTGTTCTGCACAGGCATAATGCTGTGGAAGGTCTGGGGCGACAAAGAAATACAAGAAAAAAAAGGTCACTGATGAGATGGTAATAAAACCACACATCTGAGCATAGTGAATGAAATCCATGTGCATAAATGTTACATGTTTGAAAAGAAGTAGGAGGTAGTATACATATACATAATCCATTTGCACATTTCTGAATTATCTAGCATTGCTCAAATGTAGCCTTAGCCAAGGACAGCGGTAAGAAGGATGGAGATGAATGGGACAGGACAGAAGAGGAGAACAGAGTGGAAGAGCAGAGTGGAAAGCATGTCTGGCTGTAGTCTGCAAAACGGAGCGGCATTCAGTGTTGAACCTCTAAGCCCACAAATCGTCATTTAATTGGTTAAACTATCATATCTTGGTGGGGTAAAACGCAGATTGGAATTGGATGCTGGATGATGGCTGTGAGGGTTGAGTGTTACACTGATAGCTGCTGTATGTGGCTGAACCAAATAAGTCAGGCAATTTAAACATTAATTAAGTGAAGGTATGTAAGGGTCAGTTCTCAATCTGCAGACCAATATTCTCTGTCAGTGCTTCACCGATACATGCAACATGTTTAATAGGCATTGGTGATAAAACGACAGCAAAATGTACAGGCGATAGACAATTCATGAAAAGTAAAAGTAAAATTATCTGATAAAATGTTCAATAGTCTTACTTTCATGCATTAAATGCTAGATGTGCATGTTCCCAGAATTGTGTAAAACTTTTGATTTAAAACGTGAAGGTGCAGATTGTGTCCCTACGACTCTCTGACTATTGGGGTTTTTTTTGTTTTTTTTTTTTGCTTTCTTACATCTATTTTTGACATAGATTTGCCATTTAATGCTGGGTAAGCACTGCTTGTGACAGAAGTCTCTGTCATGGTGGTACATTGCTAAAAGCCACCCACAATGCTCTCTGTTTGCTAACGACCGCCACTTCAAGTCACAAGTACAATAGCTAATGTAAAATATGTTTTTTGATATGTATGCTCTTAGTCTTCTGCCTTTATAGTTATTATGCTTTCAAATAGTTCAATCATAAATGCAGATTCATTGATAAAAAATTAATCATTAATATCCCAATAACCACACACCCATGGTGTACACATGACATAAATTGGTCTGCTAGTAATGCAGTTGCACATGTGCCAGAAGAACAAGAAAACGTATGAGGAGATTCTCTGTCATCCACACCTTCATAATTTCATCATTGAAAGAGCTGGAATTAAAGTAGGTAGTGCAGGACTTTTGAGGTGCTTTGATTTTTACATGCTTTCAATCACCATAGAAAGTATTCTCCAGAAACCTTGTGCTCGACAGCAGGAATATTCACTGGCACAGTCCTACAGCCCGATCTGTAAGTAGTAATATCCTCCTGAGAACTGAGGGAAAAAGTGTAATTTGCTGCACTCTGCATTTTGTGTCAGCATAAAAAAAAAAAGTTCCCCTCATCCCACCCAAATACATAAGATACCATTGGAAAGGGCAGGATGTCCTCTATTGAGCTATTAGAACTTTGTAGCTTAGGTCAAATGAGTCAAAAGATATGCAGCGCTTAACAAATTTATTAGACCAACTGTCATAAAAACAAGAAAACATAAATAGTTTGGGAAATCTTTCAAAAACTTATTTAAAATTAAAAAGGTTATTGTTATTATTTTGGCAAATAAACTGCAACAACTAAATCGTCCTTTTTCATACATAATAACCACAAAACATCATACTTTGTGTGGCCTCCTTTGGTCTTGATAACAGCTTGCATTCTTGCTGGCATCGTTTTTATGTCTCTTTTGTTATTGAGCTCCAAATAGTTTATAGCCGTTCCCACAGACTTGCTTTTGATGAAACTGTTGTGCAATCAGTCTTTGAATGTACTACATCCCAAATTAGTTTAATAGGATTCAAATCCAGACTTTGATATGGTCGGTCCATCAGTTCCAGGACTCCACATTCCTTTTTCTTGGTCAAATAGTCTCTGCGCAGCTTTGAAGTATGCTTGGGCTCATTGTCTTGTTGGTGTATGAACCCATAACCAATCAGAATCAGTCAGAAGGGATTCCATGATGCACTAAGATGTTGTTGCAGATGTTCTTGTTCATGATACCGTCGATTTTCACATTTTGGCAACTACCAGTGCTGTTATTTTAGGGAAGCTGTGGCATAAACCTTACACTGGTTGGTGGTCTAATACATTTGTTTAGTACTGTAGCTCAAAAACAAATTTCCACTACAGAGGACATAAATGAATACGTTTACGGAGGACATAGTCGGAGGTTTCAGAAACACCCACAGCTCCCCAGTCTGCACACCGCCAGGCAGCTACTATAGCGTGAATAGAAATGTGGGCGTGTCCGCTGTCAAAGTCTGCACCAAGAACTGGCCTTCAAACCGGCCTACGTGGTCCAAAAGACGCCCAAGAAGACCTGAGACGGTCGGTCTGACAGCAGTGACACCAGCCATGTAAGCAGGACTGAGTTTAGAGAATAAAGCAATTTCTTGGTTGGAATCCAAACACCACAAATACATCATCTATTGTCCCGTTAGCTTGTCAGTTTTCCGTCGTCAAACGCAACAGTCAACTTAGCGTTAGCTTCGCTAGTTAGCACGGTATTCTCATACTGTGCTCCGAAAAATAAATGTAACGCAGAGCTCTGGTTAAGTCGCAGCTCTCAGTTATTTCTCTCAGACTCTAGTGGTTTTACATACCTATAGTGTGTAACGGTATCTGTGGTTTCCAGATGATGTCCAGCAGTCTGCGCTGACGATCGATCTCTTCCTCGTACTGGACGATGGTTTTTTCAAACTCTGTGAATATTTCTTCAGCAGCAGCAGTTAGTCGCTCGCTGATCACCTCTCTCAGATACTGAACCGAACACATTTTACCTTAAACTGCTGAAATATTGACCGGAGACACGACAACACAACCGTCTTCCAGCTCAGTTCACACATCAGTCAAGCGAACTACTAGCCATGGGTGTGTTAGCTACTTCCGCCGGGTGTCGCACTACGAAGTTCCGTCACTTCAACGTAAGATGCCTAAAAACACATCAGCAGGATGAAAGAACTTCACACAAAACAGTTAAAATATTGTTAACTAAATACATTAAAATCATTACTGCTTTCAAGTTGTCAGTAAAATATAAAATTAATGTTATCAAAATATGATGTAAAATATATGCAGTGGTCTATTTTTCCAAAATGCAAAAAAACAAAGTGAAGGATTTGATTTTGGGATTAAAAATGTATCACGTGGATACTTTTTATTAGCAAACCAGAGAGAAATTAACAATCTGTGTTTCTGTACAGGTCCAAACATATTACAATATACACTATTATAGAGTTGGATTACACCTCAGTTACTACAGTACTCACAAAGAAAGACTTAGTGTGTTACAGCAGTGTTGTCTGATATGATGATCGGAGTGATGATCAAGTTAATTTAATATCAATATGCTAAGCTCTGATTCCCATGTTTTCCTCAAAGTCTTACATTTCCTCACCTCAATGGCAAATTAAACCTCAGAAAAAGTATTAGGTCAAAAATCTGACTGATATTTTGAATGTCAGATATGAATTTTTTTGTTGAAACAAAAGACACTTTGAGACTAAACCGTTAATGACAGAATTTTATACATTCTGTGTGACACTTTCTAAGGCCAACAGAATCATTTATTTCAAGAGCAACATGAAGATGTGAAAAAACAATTTGTGACAACAAAAGTGTAAACTGATTTTACAAGATCTTTTCTTTTTGGCCTTTCAGAATTTAGAATAGTCAGATGGAGACTGAGACAGGAAAGGCCAGGGTTAGAAGAGCTGGGGAAGGACATGCAGCCATGGTCGCACTTGCACCACGCCGGTGCGGTGGGGATTTTCAGCCCCTGTACATGGGTCACCCGCTCAACCTGTTGAGCTCCTAGGGTCCCCAACTTACCAACATTCCAACGATAGAACATTCAAGATTATAGTTTAATAATAAGAGGAGATATTTTTTCTTTTGCAATCAATACCTTTAATTGTAGTATCACAGTACATTTTACTGATTATACTGACATACTAATACTTAACATTTTCAATGATGTGACAGTATGGTATCAGTGCTTTTACTAAGTCTGTGTGTTATGTTCACTGTCACAGTGGAGAAATAAAGCTTCCTGTTCTGTTTACACAGTTCAGTACAGTGTTTGTTCTATTTTTTCCCAATTTCCTTTAATCTTTAGTTTAACAGGAAAAATACGATTATTCTTTTTTACAGGAACACCCGGCCGAAAAGTCAGCAGCTCAACTGAACAGATTATAGCTATCAACCACTTACATAAAGATTTATATAAAAATGAAGTGTAGTACAGTCCCATGAAGTTCACAAGTCAGTGACCATGACTCAATTCAGACTAGTCATAACATGAGGCCTGAACGTTGCTTTGAATTCGTTTAGTGAGATCAGCTGTTCAAAATTTAGGAAATTTTGCAAGTGATTCCAAGCAAAGACAGAATACACTTAAATATCTTTTCAAAGTTCAGCACAAGTTCTGAAAGCAGATAGGAGGAGTAAGTTCTGGGAGGGAATACAACAGCTTCCTGTATGTTTCTGACTGATATAAATACTCAGATACGAATGAAGCAGACCAAGAACAGGTTTATAATCAAGTTAGTGATTGAGTCTGTGGGTGGACAAGACAGGTCCTCTAACTCAAATGTGTAACACTCAGTGATAAGTCGAGGTTTAAATAAACACCAAATACTCTGCGGTAGACTGTATTTAGTGATTGTAAGCAGAATGGGGAGGTATACATGTCAATGACATCAACATAATCCAGCACAAGCATAAAGCTGATGGCAATCAATTAGTGTTTGAAATTGTTATGAGTGAAATTTGTTTATGAAGCAATAAGCAGAATGAAAACACAACTTTTTTTTTTTTTTTATGATTCCTTTGCAAGTGTCATTTTTGAACCAGTTCTCTATGGTCAACTCTGTTTCACTGTCATGGTTGTTTTTCTATTGACATTGTAGCACCAATATTTTCAGGAAGAACATTCTGTTCACAAAAGCAAAAAGAAAGTTTGGAGACTCCTAAGTATGATAAAACTATCTCGTAATTACAAGAAAAAGATCCCACATGTGCGATATCTGATCAAGCTGCCCGATCTGAATGTGCTGAAAAAAAAAGTATTTGAACATTGCCCGGATTCTGTAAATAGGAAACAGTGGTTTAGACCATGCCATTTTCTGATGCTATTTATGAAATAACAAATTAGAGGCATCTGTGACAGTATCTGGTTCATGCTGTCTTTATATGCCAATTACATAAATATCAATAATCTTTAACCTGAATCTGACTTAACCTTTAAATATGAAAGCTACAGCTTTAACCCGAACCAATGAACTTTTTAAGCTTGGTTCCCTGATTATTTTTCCTACAGATGTTTCAGGACGACGGCTTCTCACCTGTGTGGGTTCTCATATGGACAGTCAAATTACTACAGTGACCAAAATTCTTCCCACATGTTTTGCAAGAATATGGTTTCTCACCTGTGTGGAGTTTTGTATGACTCTTAAGTGCTGAAAAGTCACTAAATCTTTTCCCACACACGTTACAAACGTATGGCTTCTCACCTGTGTGGAGTCTCATATGTACCAACAAGTTATCCTTAAATCGGAAACCTTTACCACATGTTTCACATGAAAATGGCTTCTCGCCTGTGTGGGTTCTCATGTGCTCGGTCAAATGAGCACTTCGACTGTAACTTTTTGCACATAAGTTGCAAGAATACGGCCTCTCACCAGTGTGAGTTCTCATGTGGTCAGTCAAATGATTACTTCGGCTGAAAGTTTTCCCACATGTTTTACAAGAATGCGGCTTCTCACCTGTGTGGATAGCCAGATGTCTTTTAAATGCTGATATGCCAGTAAATGTTCTTCCACAGGTCTTACAAAGGTACGGCTTCTCACCTGTGTGGATTCTCATGTGGACGGTCAAACTACTAGTTTGACTGAAACTTTTCCCACATATTGTGCAAGAATGTGGCTTCTCGCCTGTGTGCGTTCTCATGTGGAGTTTCAGCGTAGTGCTATAACTGAAATGTGTCCCACAAGTTTCGCAAGTATATGGCTTTTCACCTGTGTGGATTCTAAGATGTCTGTTCATTTGGGATTTATTCTTGAAAGCTTTTCCACAGACATCACATTCTACAGACTTTTTCCCTACGTCAGCATCACAGTGGCTGTCTGATATGGGAGAATTGCCGCTGTGGTCACTTTCCTCATAAGCAGAGGTCTCCATAAAGCTATCAGTCTCCTGCTTTACTACAAGCAGCTCTCCCTCCTGACTGGTGCAGAGTTCATCCTGTTCCTCTTTAATCTGTGGAGGTTCTGGGTCCTTCTGGCTCAAACCGGTGCAGAATTTATCCTGTTCGTCTTTAATGTGTGGAGGTTCTGGGTCCACCTGTTCCAGACTGCTGTAGAGTTCCTCCTGTTCCTCTTTAATCTGTGAAGGCTCGGGCTTCACCTGGTCCGGACAGGTGAAAAGCTCCTCCTGTTCCTCTTTAATCTGAGGAAGCTGCTGGCTTGCCTGGTCCAGACTGGTATAGAGTTCCACCTGTTCCTCTTTAATCTGTGGAGGCCCTCGGTCGTTGAGACTGCAGCTCCCTTCCTGATTACAAAGCTGCTTGTCATCAAAAACATCCTCCTCCTTGTAGACATGTTGTGGGAGCGCTGGAAGGCCAAAAGAAAAAAGTTACAAACTCAGTAGGCAAAATTGAGCAAAAAAAAAAAAGCAAACAAAAAAAAAAACAAGGTTGCTGTGCAAGTCTGCAGTATAAACCTCATACATGAAGATGTTAGTGGACCAATAAATGAGATGAATGAATCATATGTTGACACTTGTGATGAAACATTGGCATAAACATTTTCATACAAATATCTTAATATATTTATCAAATGCAGAGCAAGCACACTAATGTCTGAGACGTGGCTCATTAACATAAGCCACAGCAAAGGTTTGGGGAAAAAAGTGAGTTAAATGACTTTGGCAGAAGTATTGAGAGGCCAGTTTGAAAAGGCGACAGAAGAACAGTGACTTTTGATTGAGAGAAGAATCTGAAGAGGAATTTAATTTGTTGTCTCCAGCTGTATGTAGCTTAACAGGTTCGCACATGTAACGTATTCCCTAAAGTAAGAATCTGTATCGCTAAAATTATTGTCAGAAGGTCAATCAGTGAAAGGGAGACCCTTCTCACAGCCGATTTAAATCACAAACTCTAATCGTGACCTCCTTTGGAGCTGATCAACTGTGAGTTGGAGGCAGAAAATTCCCCATTTTAAGCAGATTTACAGATACAGAAGTTTCACCGTTCCAAAGTGTGGTTCAAAACGCCTACTAGGCTTTAACAAAGTAAAAAGGTGCAAAACAGCAGCGCTGCCGAGCAGGAAGCTAACATAGAAGGCAGAACGACGTGCTAGCTTTGTTAGCACCTTTAGCATGTTAGCTGGGCGGCTGGAAGCTTGCGTTGTCCTCATTAGCCTCTAGTTTCATCTCATGTTTCTAAACTCTGCATTGATCTTCTAGTTCAGTCAGTTTCTCCTGAATCTGCTACAGACTGTGTTGTAGTTTTACATACCTGCTGTGTTTATCGTTATTTCAGGTTTCCAGACCGTCGTTGGTTCACATGTTGAGGCATTTTCTTGACTGCAAACATTTTCTTGTTCGGCAGTAAACTCTGTCAGACACTCAGATGAAGACATTGTAACTTCAAATACTGAAATATTGATCTAAGATACGACAACACAGCCGTCTTCCAGCTCTGTCCATACATCAGTCAAGCTAACGCAGCTGGCGCCTTTTCATTGTTTACTTCCGGCTGGTGTCACAGTGTAAAGCTGTGACAGAGGACAATAGTTAACTTTAGTTCCACCTTGTAATTAAAAAACAACAACACCAAAAACAAACAAACAAATAAAACACAACAAACAAAAAACAAACAAACAAAAAAACCCTAATGTATATTATTACTGTTTTTGTACAACTGTTTTTGTTTCCGTAGTTTAGCCAGGTCTTATTGTACAATTTCCAGCAGGGATATGCGTTCTGCACTCCTAAGAAAAGACAACACCAACAAAATAAACAAACTGATACATAAATGTAGCAAATCTCTGTAGGGCAAGAAGCATTTAATTGTTTTTTTTTTTTTGTTTTTTTTCATCACCCACTGGTACACTTACAAAAATTCAATCTTGATGAGCTCAGGTGTCACAGTATTTTTGTTCCATTTGTGTCTCAGTCAAATGTGATCTCCACAACTGCTGGTAAAACACTATAATGACTCATACAGCTACTATTATTGTTTGTATATTCAGTTTCGAACTTTTAAACTGTTTACATGCACCAACTGGAGCAGCACTCCTAATGTCGCTGCATACAATAAAGTGACAATAAAAGCATTCTGATTCTGATACTGTGTGTGTGTGTGTGTGTGTGTGTGTGTGTGTGTGTGTGTGTGTGTGTGTGTGTGTTGCCAGCTTTGAATTATGGTTTAATGATTAACCCAGGCCACAGTCTATGAGAAATAATGTAAACTAAATTTTAAAAAAAGAAATGGAGTCAAACAAAAATCACAGCTCAAAACGTTATTCAGTGATACATATAGTTAGAGCATTACTACTAATTTACTATTCACAAATGAATAGAACACATTCAGAACTGATCTGATTGTCAAAGTCTCTGTCACAGTCATTAAGAGTTTCTCCAGTAAAATTGATCTTTGTCTTAACTAATGATTATTCTGATCACAACATAGCAATGTCGAACAATACACTGATTCAGAAAGATGTTCTTATACCAAGAAGAAGAAGAATCTTTATGTTGTCCAAAGTCTGTGTGAGTTTTCTGTGAAAAAATATTTTTTAATCAGAGTTCACAAAGTCCTGTTGTGGAATCTTCTCCTCGTCTGTGGGTTTTGGAGAGTTCGCATGTTCGTGACAGAGATCATCATCATCTGTTAGTGTTGTTCTACAGTCACACGAAACTTCACTGGTAAAATCTTTAGTGACTGATGTGACTAAGTGTAAAAATATGGAAACACCCTCTCAGTGAACGTGTGTGTGAAGGTGTGTTTGTGTGTTAGTATCAGGATCAGAGAACAACAGCTTTTCTCTGTTCCAGTCCACATTCACTCTGATCCTCTGAAGCGTCTTCTGTACTGGAACAAAAGTGGGTAGACGTGATGGAGAGAACGCTTTGTATTCATCCTTATAGAACAAAACTGTCCACAATCCAGGTCTTAGGTGTATTGTCCTCTGGATAGATTCCTTGAACACACCCATGGAACAGCCTAAACTGTCTCCAACTAAACTGTCCCAGCTGTGAGTCCCTGAGTTAAAACCCTCAGAGCTCAGGACAGAGAAGTGATCTTTAAACCTCTCTGGATTATCAGGAAGCTGCTGTTTGTCTCCTGAACTCATGCCAGAGATGTTCACAAGTCTTTTTTTGCAAGTCCAAGTCAAGTCTCAAGTCTTTGGTTACAAGTCCAAGTCAAGTCTCAAGTCTTTGTGGGGTGAGACTTGGTCAAGTCTCAAGTCTTTGGTCACGAGTCCAAGTCAAGTCTCAAGTCTCTAAAAAATAAGTCTCTCATGTCTCTTCCTGTTTTAATGAGCTTTCTATCATCTGCTGCTACTCAGTCTACTAACAGTACTGCACAGCTATATCTAAGACATCCAAAGCATCTACTGTATTATTATCCCTCCTTCATCTATTAGCATAAAGTATCAGCACTGATTAGCTGTTTGTTAGATGATCACTTTAAACAGGGTCCTGCAATGCAAGATGAAGAAAACACACAATGAATGACTTCCTTTAAAGGAAACCGTATTCTTCCAGCATGAAAATACAGTTACAATATATCTT